CGGACCCAAGCCAGAAGAGCACCCCTCACGAACACGAGACCCTCCGTCGGCCCAAGCAGGCAGAACATTCAAGGGAACCCTCCCCAGGATGCACAAGCCCATCCAACAAAACCCCAGGGCGCCCTTCCCGAGCCGACCTCGACCCCCAGACCCCCAGACCCCCGACGTCATGATTTTTTCACTACTTCGACCCCTGAGGTCTCGACTCCCCTGGACCCGTTTTCCATCCCGAATCGTGTGCTGCCGGTCCCGGGAGCCGATGAGGGCCTCCCGAGGCCGAAAATGCAGAATTACGCTACCTAGGAACCCCACATACCTAATTTAAATCTTATGTGGTTGCTGAAGTTGATAATACATGCGCAATTCTGCGTTCGGAGCCCTCGTCGCGAATGTTCCCCCTATGTGTCATCCAACGCCATGATGCTTGAACCTCCTCCCTCTTCCTAGCCTTCTACCCTCCACCGAGGACAGATTCGCGCCAGCCAGCGGCCGCGGTGAGGGACCCTGAGGCCGAAAATGCCCCCCAACAAAAAAAACAAAAAAAAAAAAAAAAAAAAAAAAAACTCCCACTCCCGGGGGGTCCGGGCCATGCACGCCGCACAGAGGCGGCCGCTCTCTCGGCGCGGGGGGGCCCGCGCAGCGCCGAGGCGGCCGCTCTCTCGGCGCGCGGGGCAACCGCGCCGTTCTGGCGAGCACTGGGTCACGCTGCGCTGGCCAGCGAGTGTGCCAGGGCTGCAGCTGCCGTATTTCAATCGATTCGCGTCCAGGAACCGACGTCAAAAGTAACAGCTTTCGAAAAAAAAAGGTGCTATATAGCTCTCAGACATGTTGACGACTTCGTTTGGAGTAGACTTTCTCGGCAACTGGAGGATTTCCTGTCTCTTTCGCTTGCAAATTATCAGGCGGGGGGCCCGCGCCGCGCAGCGGCCGTGGCGGGCGGCGGCCCCGCGCCGCCGAGGCGGGCCGGCGCGGGCGGGCGCGGGCGGGCGCTGGCGGGCGCTGGCGGGCCCGCCTGTCGGGCCGGAGGGGGGGGAGGAGGAGGGAAAGAGGAGGAGGAAGAAAGGAGGAGGCGAGGAGGAGGAGGAGGAGGAGGAGGGGGAGGAGGGGGGGAGGGGGTGGAGGGGGGGGGGGAGGGGTGGGGAGAGTGAGGAGGGGGGGGGAGGGTGAGGAGGAGGGGGAGGAGGAGAAGGAGGACGAGGAGGGGCATCGGCACAGATCGGAGATCGTTGGGACCCCGCTGTTCCGAGGGACGTCGGGCGCCACGGCCCTCTCATAAGGCGCTCCACGTTCCAGGACGCCCCCAGGAGTGTTCCGGAACGCTCTAGAGTGATGCGTCGTGATCCTGGACCCGATTTGTCCCCAGGCGCGAGGAGGCAGGATCGGTCGGCATCGGATCGGGAACTTCGGACCAGGTCGGATCGTGCGCCGAATCGAAATCGCATCGGCACGGGGCCGGGATCGAATCGGATTGGCCACGCCAGGATGCATTGGACGACGCGAAAACCGTGTACCAGACCAGCTCAATGCACGCCTCTGCGTGTGCTGGAATGTGGGGAAGCGTGCATCGAACTGGTGCACACGACTGGGGTCGCCCGAATGATCAGCAACGTCATGCGAGCATCGGGCCGCGCCAGCGGAAACCAAAAGGTACCGACACCGCCACTCCCCGGACCTCTCCAGGGGTGCATTCTGAACAGAATTTCGAGGCGAATCCAGCGGTGGCGACGAGGGTGTCCCAGAAGGCCGAAACAAGCAAAAACGAGTGGAGGGCAGCGGGATCGCTACTTTTTCCTCCTCCGATACCGGGCCGCGTCGGGTCGTCGGGCTGTCGGAATCAAATCGGATCGAGCCGACCAGAATCGGTGTCGAATCGGATCGGCCAGAGCGAAGTAGGCCCTGCCGTGACGCCTGCTCGCCCGAGCAGACAGCAAGCGCGTTTCGGGCCTGGCCTGGACTGGCGTGCGCGCAAGCCGCTCGCTCTGGCATGTCTTGTGCAAGCAAAGCCGGATGACGGATGGAGTACGGATTCAAAACCATCAACATCAACATCATCATCATCATCATCATCATCATCATCATCATCATCATCACCACCATCATCATCATCATCATCATCATCATCATCATCATCATCATCATCATCATCATCATCATCATCATCATCATCATCATCGACATCATCATCATCATCATCATCATCATCATCATCATCATCATCAGCATCATGATCATCAGCATCAGCATCATCATGAGCATCGTCATCTTCATCATCAGCGACATCCTCCCCCTCCTCCTCCACCTCCGCCTCCTCCTCCCTCTCCTCCTCATCCTCCTCCTTCTCCTCCTCCTCCTCAGCATCATCATCATAATCATCATCGTCATCATCATCAACATCATCGTCATGATCATCATCATAATCATCATCATAATCATCATGATCGTCATCCTCATGATCATCAAGATCATCATCAGCAGCATCATCATCATCGTCAGCATCATCATCAGCATCATCAACAGCAGCATAATCATCATCATCAACAGTATCACAAACATGATCATCATCATCAGTATCATCATCAGCATCATCATGATCATCAACATCATCATCACCATCATCATCATCAGCAGCAGCATCATCAGCATCATCATTATCATCATCATGATCAGAATCAGCATCATTATCATCATCACTAAGATCTTCGTCTTGATCATCAGCCATCATCAGCAGCACCATTCGAATATTCTTCATCATCATCATCATCATCATCAAGAGCATCATCATTATCATCGTCATCATCATCTGCATCATCATCACCACCACCATCAGTATCATCCGTATCACCATCAGCACCTTCAGAACCTTAATTATCATCATCAGCGCAATCGTCGTCTGCATCATCAGCATCGGCATCACCTTCTGCATCATCATCAGCATCAGCATCAGCATGGCCATCAGCAGCATCATCAACATAGTCAGCATCATCAGCATCATCGTCATTATCATCATCACCATCATCACCATCAGCATCATCAGCAGCATCATCATAATCATCATCAGCATCATCTTTACATCATCATAAACATCATCATCATCCTCATCATCATAAGCATCACCATCATCATCCCCACCACCACCATCATCATCATCATCACCACCACCATCATCATCATCGTCGTCGTCGCCGCCGCCGCTGTCGTCGTCGTCATCATCAGCATCAGCATCATAAAAATCATCATCTTCAACATCATCGTCATCAGCCCATCATCATCATCATCATCATCATCATCATCATCATCATCATCATCCCTGTCGTCGTCGTCATCATCTGCATCATCATCACCATCATCTGCAGCAGCAGCTCATCATTATCATCACCACCACCACCATCATCATCGTCGTCGTCGCCGCCGCTGTAGTCGTCGTCGTCATCGTCGTCGTCATCATCAGCACCAGTATCATCACCATCAACATCATCACCTTCATCATCATCATCACCATCATCATCATTCGCTAAAATGGATTACGGATCC